CGCGGGGAATGGAACAAATTGGGAAATCCACAGAATCGAAACTGGTTGGATCTGAGAAAACATGCCGGTTAAATCTCTACGAGTTGGTGGTTTGGAACATGAATTTTTATTGTCCAATCACGATTGCTACAGCTACCCATCATAGGAATACCCATCAACCAGCATAAAGGGATGACATGATTGAGCAGATCCTCACATATGATGACAATGATGATCAAGAGTGATACTGGTGTTTTTTATTATTGATGATTGTGAATATATATATATATTATTGTTATGATGGTAACGGTAGAGAGAATACCACTACCATAATGGGATCAGCGTATGATCTTTATCATGAAATCTAGTATCATACTATAGCCAAGAAACCAAGAATTATATAAGTTACGGATAGGTATGGATAGTTATGGATATATACCATTTGGTTATTTAACATAGCCATGGAAAATCCCCATTTTTAATAGGTAAAGCATCTATTTCTATGGGTCATCTATACCATGGCTACGTTAGTCATAACCAGAGGGTATTTCATTGGTCCATTTGTTTCAGACCCACTGCAGGAAGCTTATGCCCGCGTCCCTGGCGCTGGGCCAAAGATGACTCAGTGGGTTGGTCAGGCCGCAAGGGACCACGGCCAGCTGAAAATCCCTCGAGATCTGGGGAAAATACATACAATAATCCTTACTAACTATAATTTCACTATATTTCACTATGGTTTAGTCCATTTCCTAAAAAAAACTGCAGTATGGAATATGCGTATTATATATAATATAGAACCTTCACTGACCTGAAGTGTTTGGATTTCCCTTGGGATCTTTATCCCTACTTTGTAATCATAGTTTTCAGCGACGTCGCGACTTGAGGTCGTTATAATTTAGCCAACGAAGGTTCTGATGGGAAAATCATCTATAACTGTTATACATGTTTTGTTCTAGCAAGGCCATGGAATGCAATCTAAAGTATGTGCTATACTTCACTAAACCCAGTGCCATAAACCATCCCATTCACCAACCATGACTGGGATCATGTTACATCATCCCATTGCTAGTGGTATACCCGGTATACCCAGTATACCCAATAGTAAGCCTCTATTGAAATTATTGGGCTTGATTGGGTTTATTGGGTTTACCACATTATGTCAAATTGGATCAAATTCGCTAACCGGTAATCATCCCCAACATGTTTCTATTTTGGCGACCGAACACTGCAGGACTTCAGGATATACTTTCCAGACATCCTTCAGGTTTGATGGCCAGGGATTCCCTCAAATCCGTCTTCAATTCAATAAAGGGGCCAAGGGAAGATAGGTCACTTAAACGCAGGGATTTGGGGATGTTTATGGCTATGGAATATTGATAGGGCTAAGGAGCAACACAACTGTGATATGTTTGAGGATTTCAACTCAGGGTCAATCTTGCTGGAAACATACGTCGACTTTTATTTACCCATCACTTAGTACTTAGGGATGGAAACCAGAGGCATTTGCAATGCCGGCTCAAAAGCCAAAATGATGGTAAGTAAAAGGAAACATACCCACAAATAAGGGGTTACTATGGTTTATTATTCATAATTAAATGTCAATTTCTGATATGTCTGGTTTCGCTTATAAAGGGTCTACAAATGGTTTAGGAGCCCCAATTCTGGTGATGTCAGTGACTCGTTTCTGTAGGTCAAAGCTGGCAGACGTGTTTGGACACTCAGCGGGGGCGAATTTGCTGAGATTGCCGCCCATGTCAGTGGTACTTGGGGGTGCAGTTCCAGCTATAAGTAGTTATATAATGATATATAACCATAGTTGTAGAGCTTATATCCCAACATATGGTGGTTTATAACATTTTATAACCATGGAAAAATATCCATTTGCAACCCCATGGTATGCTCCCCCTTCCGTAGGCTTCCAAAGTTGTGGATTTGTTGGGGCCTTCCGGGGCTCTAGCAACCAACCCGGATTCAATGGAACCACAGAGGGTCTTGAAGACTGGCCTGTACACGAGCTTGATCGGTTTTGTTCACTAGTATGTAACCGGCCTCTGTTTCCTGCAAAACCTTTTGAACCTCGTTTTCATTTGGGACTTTTGTCCCTTTGTTTTGCAGGGGGTGATTTTATATCGGGCGGCCATTTTGGGTCAAGTTGTGGTGTGATGTTTTGACCGCTGTCTTAACCGTTTTTCGTTTTTTGGAGCTATGGCATTCTGCACATGATGGTCATTGTCGGGTGCTGTGTTTCCAAATTTTGCTGGCTCATATTTACTTTGGTGTTTTGTGATTTTCAACTGGAGCATTGTGGAATGGCCTCTCACGAGTTACCAGTTTGTGTTGTCAAACGGTTTCGTAGAAATCCACCACCAGAAGTTGATTTGACACCTGCCCAGTCTGCGACGGTCACTGGTTCAGATCTTGGATCCTTTTCTTTGGTCACTGGAGATGTTAGGGCATCACACGGCCTGGACCTGCAGCAGGATGATGCAGACCTGGGCTCAGAACATGATGTACTCAGTTCGATTCCGCCAGTCAACTTGTTTGGTACAGACTCAGATGATGATTTGCAGTTTCAGCCACGTTGGAATGAGGTAGGTGAATATGATTTCAATTACCAGCCTGGAGGTTTGTTAGATCCATGGGCGACTTCACTCCGAAGGTCATCATGTTTTGGGACCACATCGCCAGGGGCTCTGCCACCACCTCGGTTGAGGACTCGGTCGTTCACGGCCCCAACGTTCACAGATGCCTCAGCGTTGTGGAAACCTCCAGTGCCAGTACAGAAATCTAGAGCCTCCTTGTATCCTGTTACACAGCTTGTGCCAGGGTCAAACAATGTGCCAGTTTTGCGGACACCGACCTTGCAGGTTGCACCATCAGCCATGCCAGTGGTGCGACAACATGGTTCAGGTTCTTCGTTGCAGGAGCCATCCACATCCATGCAACAAGCCTGGTCTGAAGCCAAGTCGGGTCTTATTCAGCAATGGTTTGAAATTCTTGCTCAGATGGATGAAGCTAGTGGACTGTTTGCTACAACGCAGCAATCTGCTCACTGTGATGATCATCGACGTCGGGTGATCGAAAAATTTGCACCTACAACATTGCAATCATATTTTCGGATTTGGACTCGATGGTTTGATTTCGCTGTTCAGCTGAATGCATCCCCTTTCAATCCTGCTCCGGTCTTTTTGGCAGACTTTTTGGCAGAACATGCTCATGGGCCTCTAGGTGTGGCCACGGCATACTACAAGGGGCTCTCCTGGATGGCTCGACAGGCCCAATTACCGGCAGTTTTTGATGCATTGCAGTCTTCTGTGTGCAAAGCATATCTCCATTCAGCAGTTATTTGCGAGAAACGTGAATCTTCTCCCCTGCCTTTATCTTTTGTGGTTTACTTGGAGAAATTGGTCATCTCCAAGACAACACCTGCATCAGAAATTTTGCAGCTGGGGTCATTATTATTTTTGATCTGGAGCAGTCTTCGCTGGTCAGACGCACTGTGGATTGCACCTGACACCATTACAATCCAGAATCATGCGATGTTTGCCATCTCTGCCCATACGAAAACAACCAACAGGGGCATGCCAGTGGCATGCTATGCATATGGCTTGATGGGCCAGCAGGGTGGCACCTCGTGGGCGCAGGCCTGGCTCAATGTGGTTCACCAAGCAGTCCATGACACCAAGCAATTGTATCCTTCATTTGCGGTGGATTTTCTTTTGACAGAGGTGGGGACGTCCATGGATAAACCACTCTTCCTGAAGCCCATGCCGCGTGACCGGGGTTTACATCTCATCAGGTTTTGGCTGTGCAAGTGTTTTGAGGCGCACCAGCGTGAAGCTAAGCCTGAGGATTTTCATTTGCTGGGCACACACTCATGCAAGACCACTTTGTTGAGTTGGGCCCAGCAGTTGCAGCTCCCATTGGAACAACGCCAACTGCAAGGACATCATCGTTCCCAGTTGAATGGGTCTGTGGCATTATACAGTCGCAATGACACGTTACCAGCCTTGATTCTTCAGTACACCATTGCTCAGAGGATTGCAGAGGGGTTTAGGCCTTTGAGGCCGCTTCTTCGTGGGGGGGCTCCTTCGCTTCCTGATTTTCAGATTCAGGTGCCACCTTGGAAGCCTCTGGCCTTCGTCACTGAGTCGAAGGAAGCGGTTGACACCATCCCACCGGCAGCGGAGGATACCTCTGCCTGTGCGCCACTGGCTGCTGAGGCTGAGAACTCCGATTTTTCTGAGGATGATGTGGATGAGCAGCCACAGCCTTTGCAGGATGTGGACACTCCTGAGGAGTTTGCATACTTGGTGAATCCCATTACCAAGTTTGCTCATTTGGCTGTGATTTGCGATACTACTGACAGGGCTTTCTGTTTTGAAGACAAACATGGCCAGACGTTTCGAACTGGATGCGGAGCCAGACCAAATGCCATTTCTGGGGACCTGATTTTTACTCAGGAGTTGCCTCCCGGCGCCAGGCTTTGCTTACGCAGAGCATGTGCCAAATTTGCATCCTCATCCGAGTGAATGTAAAATGGCGTTTCCCACTGAGATGTTTTCCACAATTCATTTGCTGGCCACCATTCCAGTCGTTTTTTGTTCGGAATTCACTTGAAACATTTTGCATTGCCAGTCATACCACTCTGAGGCTGGATGTACCGTTGTACAAGTCACATGTGGTTGGTAATTCTCTCGTTGGTTTGGTACTGCTTTGGGGGTTAAAAAAGGGCGACTTTTTAGCGCCCAAAAAGGGCTCCAAAAATAGGTCAAAAAGGCGCCCCCCAAAGTCCCAAACCAAACGGAAAATTACTACATGTGGTAGTTGCTCTGGCTCTAGTCCGGACGACCGCTCTTTAGGTGGTTTGGATACACATTTCTCACAATTTTTCAGGTTTTTTCTGACATTCAGCTGGTCATCTGATTTTTCCTCACGACTATTTCCAATTTCTCTGATTTCATCCTTTGCTGGGGTGACATTTTGAATTTTGTTACGTTGCCTTCCCCGCGGGTCGAGCGATGTACTCTCAATCCCATCGCTGTGAGCTGATTTCACACGCTGTGACCTTGCTCCTGGTGTGGATTGCCCCGCAGGGCACAGCTGCTGAGCTCCGCATTGAGACGGCGAAGGAGGCCCTCAACAGGGCGTGCCAGCACCTGAGCGTCCATGGCCAGTGGGCCTGGCTGTCGCGGTTCACTTGCATTTTCGCAAGGTGTTCCGTTGCACTCCAATCGGAGGTTGCTCTCCTGGATGACATGAATCCGAAGGGGTGGGATTACAGCCGTCCAACGAGGTCGGTCCTGGATTCTCTTGGTACTATGTCTGGCGAAACGGCGGAGCACTGGATGCGTGAACTCCAGGTCACATCCCAGCTTCTGGACGATTTTGCCGCCCACTTGATTACGCTGGGGGAACACAGTACTTGGAGCTCTATCAAACATGCAGCTGATGGCTGTCGCGACCTACATGACTTGGTCGGAGTGCATGTGTCGAGGGTGTCCACCATTCGTGACCCACCTCCGGTGCACCAGCGCTGAGAGCCTGTTTTAGATCCAGAGGATCCATTAGGAGTGTTATTTTTTTGAGTCTTCGGCAGGTGATGAGCACCGCCGGACATGTTGCAAAACATTGGTGACCCGCTGGTGCCAATTTGGTTTGATGGTTTCATTGCTGATTCATCAATCGCACGATTGCAATCACCATGTCACGACCAATTGTGCACTCACGAGCCTGACCAACTTGGATCGTCATTCCCGGTTTGGCTCTAGCACAGCACGCACTACGGTGTGTTCATTTTCCATGTTCTCCAGTTTTCAACTTGCAGGCTTGTTGGCATGTTTCACATGCAAGATTGTTTGTTCAATTGTTGGCATTTCACTGCACGGATTTTTCATTTGGCATGTCGCTTCCATGCTCAGATGTTCAGTGTTGTCACTCATTCTGTTTAATTGTTTTCTGGCATTTGTACCTTTTTGATCCTTTTTGCAGAGTGCTTCACATCCACGTTCAATTTTGTCATCTTTCCCTTTTATTGAGTTGGCAGACATGTCTCATCTTGCGTTGGATGACCCTCTGGCCTTGAGTGGAATGTTATGTACCGGCACCCCTCGTGGCACACTTGGAGGTTTTGGGGTACAAATCGGTGGCATTACTCGGCTTTGCAGTTCCATCGGAATCCCAATTTGATGAGCTCATTGAAAAGATCATCCCTAAAGACTTGGGTGAACCAGTGGACCTGTTGTCACCTGGAGCTGCTAGTCTTCGCAGGGTCATTCGACAGTGCTTCGATGCTTGTAGCTCACAGGGAGGCCTGGCTCGTGAACCGCAAGCTGCAGCCATGCCCAAACCTAAGCTCACGTTAGCGGAGTACAAAGAATTGAAGATCAAGTTTCATGAGTTTTTTCCGGGTGAGCTTCTTACTCCTGAATCTACTCCAAGCTTCATGTTTGTGGCTAACTTGAAGGAACAGTTTGACACTGGTACGTGGACATGGACACCGTGGCGACACAGAATTTCAGAGCAGGCCGAGGTTCTGTTTCAGGAGAATCGCAGGCCCAGATCAGATCAGCAACTTTTACAGCGCATGCTCAATCAGCAGGACCTGTTGGATTTTCCGGAAGCCACTGTTCCAACAGGAGGGCCAGTGGAACCAGTGTTGTTGCGTTTCCAAACTCTCTTGGCAAATGCCTTAGCGTTGTTACAGCTTGTACATTTGATTGTGATTAAGAAATTTCATCACAAATTCAATGAACTTGCACTTGCCAGCCCAGTGGACTCCACCTTGCGCTCACCGAACTTGCAAGAGGTCCTTGCGGCTGACAAAGCGGTTTGGATGGCAGTCACCTCAGCAATGCGAGAAAATAGCTGGTCCTTGAGTGACACGATGAGTGAAGTTGCATATTGTCGCCAAGACATGCAGTCGGCTTTGCAACCCAGACCTAGAGGTGCACCTAACCCGGTTACACCAAAGAAACCAGAACCCAAGGCTCCTCCCAGAAAACCTGGCACTCCTCCGCCAGTCAAAAAAGATGATAAATTGAAAGATTGGCAGGACTCCTGAATTCGCAAACACAATGGGAAGGGCATTTGCATGAGGTGGAATACAGCTAAGTGCGGCAGTGCAGGTATTTACACATCTGCCCCATTCCGAAAGCAGATGGCTCCATATGTGGCCAAAAACATCCAGCGAAGGCGCACAAGGGTGCTCCTCACTGACTTCCGGAGCCAGAGATGTTCAATCCACCTGTCATGGAGCCACCACCAGGCGATTTTTCTTGTCCGCACAGGCCTGACATATCAGCCTCTTCTGACATGGATTGCAGTTTTGATTCACGCAAGTTTTCATTTTTTCTGGATTTGTTTTCCGGGGCTTCCTCACCAGTTTCAGTAGCTGTGCGGAAATTGCATGCAGATGCCATTGAACCAGTGGATATCATTTTTGGACAACATTGCGATCTATTGGATGACAAGGTTTTTCAAAATGTGGTGCACCTTGCTTCATCGGGCATGGTGGGGGCGGCGATTGCGGCACCTTACTGCTCGAAGCATTCAATGGCCACTTTGAAACCGAACGGGCCCAAGCCAGTTCGTACGCCAACTGCATTGGATGGGCTTCCTACGAACACAGCCCTTCAAGATTTGCAAGTGCAAGAATCTGCAGCGGTTCATGACCGTGCCCGCTACATTCTTTCTATCTGCGCAAATTATAGCGAGGACAGCCGAGGCAACGAGGCAGGTTGCAGGAATTAGCGAGGTCAGCCCTTAATTTGCTCATCAGAATTAGCCGACCTCGACGAGGTAGCCTTGCATTGGTTCTGTTGCATGCTTGGGCTTGGCTAGAAAACTTTTTTGGGGGCCAGAGGCCGGTCAGCAGGCAAGGAAGGAAAAAAACTTTTCAGGCCCCAAAAAGTTTTATTTTCTATCGCCAGAGGCCGGTCAGCAGGCAAGGAAGGAAAAAAAACTTTTTAGCTCCCAAAAAGTTTTATTTTCTATCGCCAGAGGCCGGTCAGCAGGCAAGGAAGGAAAAAAACTTTACAGGCCCCAAAAAGTTTATTTTCTATCGCCAGAGGCCGGTCAGCAGGCAAGGAAGGAAAAAAAACTTTTCAGGCCCCAAAAAGTTTTATTTTCTATCGCCAGATTCCGGTCAGGAGGCAAGGAAGGAAAAAACAAATTCAGGCCCCAAAAAGTTTTATTTTCTATCGCCAGAGGCCGGTCAGCAGGCAAGGAAGGAAAAAACACTTTTCAGGCCCCAAAAAGTTTTATTTTCTATCGCTAGAGGCCGGTCAGCAGGCAAGGAAGGAAAAAACAAATTCAGGCCCCAAAAAGTTTTATTTTCTATCGCCAGAGGCCGGTCAGCAGGCAAGGAAGGAAAAACAACTTTTCAGGCCCCAAAAAGTTTTATTTTCTATCGCCAGAGGCCGGTCAGCAGGCAAGGAAGGAAAAAAAACTTTTCAGGCCCCAAAAAGTTTTATTTTCTATCGCCAGAGGCCGGTCAGCAGGCAAGGAAGGAAAAAAAACTTTTCAGGCCCCAAAAAGTTTTATTTTCTATCGCCAGAGGCCGGTCAGCAGGCAAGGAAGGAAAAAAAACTTTTCAGGCCCCAAAAAGTTTTATTTTCTATCGCCAGAGGCCGGTCAGCAGGCAAGGAAGGAAAAAAAACTTTTCAGGCCCCAAAAAGTTTTATTTTCTATCGCCAGAGGCCGGTCAGCAGGCAAGGAAGGAAAAAAAACTTTTCAGGCCCCAAAAAGTTTTATTTTCTATCGCCAGAGGCCGGTCAGCAGGCAAGGAAGGAAAAAAAACTGTTCAGGCCCCAAAAAGTTTTATTTTCTATCGCCAGAGGCCCGCTTCGTGGGTTGACGGCTGCAGACGCAGTAGGATTCAGAGTTGCTCCAGAAGAGCATTGCATCTCTGCGATAATGTCAGAGATGTCACCACCCAAGCGCAAGAAGCGCAAAGACCGATCAGACTCAGATTTAAAAATCCCTGCAAGAGACCGTGGATCGTGGAAAAAAACTTTTCGTCGGCAGCTGAAAAGTTTTTTTTCCTTGGGGTTGGACCCTGGAAAGAAGGCCCACAAGCTACTTTCTTCCTTCGAATTAACGAGGTAAAGCCTTAATTTGCACCTGCAGATTAACGAACGAGGACAGTAATCATGGGGAACAAATTAAGACACGAGGGAGACGAGGTAAGAATTAAAGTAATTTGGCCAGTTCTATTGTTGCATCCAAAAGGGGGCTCATTGTGTTGGAAAACCCTGTGACAAGCATGACCTGGTTGGATGAAGAGATGAGTGCATGGGTCCGGTCGACGGCACCATACTTGGCAGTTGTGGCAGCATGTAGGTATGGCGCTGATTGGCGCAAGTATTGGCTCTTCTGCTCGAACCGTCCTGACATCCTGCAATTAGGACTGGAATGTGATCATGCACCAGATGCACATCTCAATTTTGCAGGTTTGCGCCTCCCTGATGGCACATTTTTTAGCAGGCTGACGGCGTGCTACCCACAAGACCTGGCAGATAAGCTTGCTTCGATTTTTTCACCTTACCTGTCTAAGCATGATGTCCAAATACAACTGTCCACGTGGAGAACCCAGTTGCACCCCCAATTCTTGGCCCAGCCTACACCGAACCGGGTTGAAGATGGTGGTGGTTTGGTGAGCACAGCTGTTTGGCACGTTCCCCAATCTCAAGATTTTTTCAAAATGTTGCGACAGAGGTGGACCACCCAATTGTTTCGCACTGGATTGCATCATCATATCCTTCAACATTTTGCTACAGGGTCCAAAGAACCCCCATTGTCCCAGGAACAGTTGTTGCCTTTTTTGGAGGACATCAAATATACTTTGGGCATCAATGATGTTGATTGGACGCATATGCTGGCGATTGAACCGGGCCAACCTTTTCGCCTTGAACTTTGGAAATCCTTTTTACTGGCCATGCAGGACCCTGATGTCGCTTTCCTTTCTGAGCTCAAATCAGGGGTGCGCTTGGGGGTCAACAATGTTATCCCTCCTTCTCCTTTATGGCCACAACAGCCCTCAACAATTTCAGATGATCAAGACTTGGTTTTGTGCGAATCTTCTTGGAGAAGTGCGCTTGATCAGCCTGACATTGTCTGGCCTTTGTTGGAGGAAGAATGTGTAGCAGGTTTCATTGAGAAAGTTCCAGGTGGTCTCGCCCAACTTCAACGTGAACACGAGCATGTCGCTGTGGGCAAGCTTGGTCTTGTCACGGCCGAAAACCGAGCACCAAGGCTCGTTGTTGACTCGACGATCTCTGGGGTTACATCCAACACGTGCATCCCTAACAGGATGCTCTTGCCCAAGATCTTGGATGTCCTCAAAGCTGCACCTTTGAATGCCTCTGCAACGGATATGATTGCGTTTACTTTGGATGTCTCAAAGGCTCATCGCCGCATCAAAATTGCACCAGTGGATCAGGGCCTTCTTTGCTTCTGGTTTCAAGATACCTTGTTCAAAAGCAAAACTTTGAACTTCGGCGCTCGGGCCAGCGGCTATTTCTGGGCTCGGGTTGCAGGCCTTATGGTACGTACTTTGCATCAGGTCCTTCATATTCGGCATTCATTGTTTCAATATGTTGATGATATCCTTGTGCTCTTGGAGGCCTCGACTTCTCCGATCTGGATTGGCATTTTGACAGTGACATGCCTTGTTTTGGGCATTCCTATGTCATGGCATAAGACAGCCTGGGGATCTCAGGTCACGTGGATTGGCTGGACCATCAATGTGCAGCGATGGGTGGTTAGCATAACTCTGGACAAACGTGCCAAAATATTGCACCAGATTAACTCCCTTTTGCGTACGACGAAATGTGACTTCAAAATGTTGGAATCGCTCATTGGCCGACTCCTGTGGGTCTCGACATTGTGGGAATCATTGAGGCCACTCCTGGGCCCCTTATACCATGCACTTATGGCGATCCCCATCACACTGGTGTCGATATCGCATGATCAATGGTATGAGCATTTGAATCACGTTTCAGAAGAACTTTATCTACGCAAGGATATGGCCCATCCTTCTCTTCGAGCACATGTACGTGTTGCTCGTGCAGCCAACTTCGATTTGCGAAACCTGACACATGCCCGTACTTTGTCTTTCAAATCTCGCAGGATCTGGCTAGGTATCCAACTTCCGGGCTCTGGCAAGCGCAAACTCCAGGCAGATACCCATGAGGCTTTGCAAGCATGGAAAGATATTCTAGTGGGGACACCTTTTTTCCACAACATGTTACCTTCCCATGTTTTGGATGCGGTTACTGCTTCGGCTGATGCGTGTGCTTCAACCACTCAAGCAGGGCTTGGCGGAATTTTGCGACTGCATGGTCAGGTGGTTTCTTGGTTTGCCTTCAACATCGACTATGCAGAAGCTCAGGACATTTTCCCCTGGCTTTGCGACTCCATGCAGAAACATATCAATATTTGGGAATTGCTGGCACAATTTGCTTTAGCTTTTTGTCTGCAGCAGGTGTTGCCGGGTCGGACGTCCCCTATTTCAGTCACGTTTGCGTGCGACAACACTACCGCTGAGGCAGCTCACTTTAAAGCATTATAATCATTATCCACTTCGCGTGGTCTTTGCCCAATTCTTGCTGCCTTTTTCAGATTCCAAAGATTGCACAACATTGATGTTTCCATTCGACACATCCCTGGTGCTTGGAATGATGAGGCGGATGCACTTAGTCGTGGCAAACTTTTGCCTTGTTGTCCACCAGATCTACACATGGAAATCCCATGGCGATGGCTTTGTTCCTCCAAACCTTCATTTTCACCAGATTTTGCGAAGTTTCCTCGTACGTTAGTTCGCTGACGTGTCAAAAGTCCGGTGAATCTTATGGACATCGAATTTCATTTGGGGTTTTTTATCCTTGCGGTCGATGTATCGATTTAATTTGGTGTGAAAAAATCCTGGCCAGTGTGTTGTGCAAACCCGTCGGTTTCATAACAGTTTCGATGGTGCTTGTTTTTGTACCGCTGTACTTGGAACTTCTTTAGTCCACTGACTAAATCTCGCCATGCCATAAAAGTGTGTATGCGGTTTCCGAG